CTGCTGCTTCACCTCATCTCGTGTCCGTACTGCTTACCCCTGAGGGAGACCCGGATGCACTTGACATCCCGACTCCGCGCTCTTACGCGGAGGCGATAGAGGGTCCCTACTCCTCTCAGTGGCAGGCAGCTATGGACGCAGAGATGGCTTCCTGGAAGTCCACACGCACCTACGTTGACGAGGTTCCTCCGCCTGGGGCGAACATCGTCAGTGGCATGTGGATTTTCAGGGTGAAGCGGCCGCCGGGTTCTCCGCCTGTCTTCAAGGCGCGTTACGTGGCTCGTGGCTTCAGTCAGCGGCAGGGAGTTGACTACTTTCAGACCTTCTCTCCCACCACGAAGATGACCACTCTTCGGGTACTGCTGCACATAGCTGCTCACCGCGACTACGAGCTGCACTCTCTTGACTTCAGCACTGCTTTCTTGCAGGGCAGCCTGCACGAGGAGATCTGGCTGCGTCGCCCACCTGGCTTCACTGGGTCTTTTCCTCCGGGCACCCAGTGGAGCCTCCGGCGGCCAGTCTACGGTCTCCGCCAGGCACCGCGTGAGTGGCACGACACACTGAGGACTACACTTGCGGCTCTTGGGTTTGCTCCCTCTACTGCCGACCCGTCGCTGTTTCTGCGCACCGACACTTCTTTGCCGCCGTTCTACATCCTCGTGTACGTCGACGACTTGGTCTTCGCCACAGCTGACACTGCTGGACTCGCCCACGTGAAGTCCGAGCTGCAGAAGAGACACACGTGCACAGACCTGCACTCAGTCACACATGGTGCAGTAGGTCCTTCAGCGCTTCGGCTTCACGTACTCCTCGCCTCAGGCCACTCCTCTGCCTACTCGCCACTCGCTCTCAGCTCTGCCTTCGGATGAGTCCGTAGAGTCGAGTGGCCCGTACCCAGAGCTTGTTGGCTGCCTCATGTACCTGATGACCTGCACACGACCTGACCTTGCATACCCTCTTAGCATTCTTGCACGCTATGTTGCTCCTGGGAGACACCGACCGGAGCACATGGCTGCAGCGAAGAGGGTGTTGCGCTACTTGTGCAGTACGTCGGGCATGGGGCTTGTGCTTGGAGGGCAGAGTCCAGTGGTCCTCACTGGGCACGCAGACGCTTCTTGGGTTGACGACCAGGCTACGCAGCGGTCGTCACAGGGTTACACCTTCAGCCTTGGTTCCGGCTCTGTTTCGTGGCGGGCTACCCGCTCGTCTTCTGTTCACGGCTCCAGTTGTGAGGCTGAGATCTACGCCGGGGCCATGGCTGCACAGGAGCTTCGCTGGCTCACCTACCTGCTGACTGACCTCGGAGAGCCGCCTCGTTCTCCTCCAGTGCTGTACGTAGACAACAAGGCCATGCTGGCCTTGTGTCGAGAGCAGAGACTGGAGCACAGAACGAAGCACATTGCTCTCCGCTACTTCCTTGCTCGTGAGCTACAGCAGCGTGGTCAGCTGCGGCTTGCGTACGTGGCCTCTGAGGCCAACACTGCTGATATCTTCACCAAGGCACTTGCGCCTTGTGATCATCAGCGCTTCTGTACTCAGCTGGGTCTTGTGCCTACCTTGCCTCACTTGCTCACCCCTTGACCTTGTTTGTACTGTTGCATATATATATACATCTGCTCTTGCTTGTCTAGCCTTATATATATATATGTAATCTTGCATGTGAACTGGCCTTGTGGCCTTGAACTTGTGCTCGGAATGTGTGGTGACTTTGTGATCCACCCTGAGCTTGCTTTGCTTTGCTTGACTGGTCTTGTGACCCCTTGTTCTCCCCCACTTTGCCTATGGGGGTGTGTCAGATTTATATGACATAGCTACTGTAGGCTATAGTGGGGTAGCACATATGGGGTACAGTTTTCTAGGGTTTGCATTTGTACCCAACTTTCCCTTAGTCATTCCATTCCTCGTTTCTTCTCAGATTTGCACATATCAGAATTGTCTGGCAAAACTAGCGAAGGATTTTGGGTATCACAAGACCCAGTTTGTAAATGATAGAACATACTATATACAACCGTTAAATCACAAAATGACATGTGATTAAACATTCTGGAAGATACTTTAAATCGTTAACTCTAGCAATATATATATCTATGCGTTCGTTTGATATTGTATGTTACGACGATTCGAACGTAACCAGGTATCTTTGCACCCAAAATGGTCGCGTATACAGGACAAAAACGAGCAACCCGAAATAAAGTCCCTAAATATGTATAGTGTTTCAGGGCGGGTCAACGAAATGATGACAGGGCTCATCTGGGATAGCAAATTTTCGAGTGTGACTACCCGTGATAGAAATTAGTGCCTTTGAGTGACGGCGGGTGATACCCGTGTGATAGTTCGTGATAGATTTGGCGGATTTTGTGACTGTCCGTGATAGATTTGGCGGAACATTTGACTACTCGTGATAACTCCTGAATGTTTTGTGACGGCCCGTATAAAAACCCTCATATTTTAATGCTTGATCATATATTTCCGCGGTCATAAACTGCAGTGCCCGGGCGTCAACGTGGGACCCTTAATGACCGCGCATGATTGGTCAATTTATGCGCGGTGCCTTTTTTTTGATATGCGCGTCCAATCAGGCGCGGTCATATAGCGTCACGAACATAAATTTTGGATAATGAAGATCGCGCAATAACCAGTACAGAGGTTTCGGGGATAGAAATCCGTGTAGGGCATTGTGCCGGGTTAAAAAATGCCAGTGGGAATCCCCTGGCAAGGCCACTCGAGCAATTATCACTGAATTTGAGAACCACGCGACCAAATTGTAGTCACGTGGGTAACTCTGAATATAAAAACAGGGGTTTAGAGAAATTACCTTGTAGAAATCTCTCGGAGGACGAGAGTTGGCAGAAGGACTTGCAGTGCATTTTACTGTTCTGTACAGCAAAATGTGTCCGAGCGTGAGCAGGCTGTGATGTGTGGTGAACACTTGAACAGGCTGGTTGGGACTCGAAGGTCGCATTGCAATGCAAGGCGGCTCGGATCAATATTGTGAAGACATGCGGTTTTACACGGTTCAACGATTTTTAGAGAGATGAAATGCGACTCATCTTTCACTTGACATTACCCCAGACAATAATGTGTCCCCAGGAATTGTTGGACACTTTGTGTCGGGACAAAATGACTCCAGAACTTTGCCCCAACGGCCAACACGACCAGCAGTGAGGTCGCACAACTTGAAAATGAGTCGTTCCAGCGCAAAAGCGGTGGATAGAAACGACATTAGTCACCACCACCACTGACTGAATTCCTGACTGATGGAGTCCAGAAATTCGGACACGCCCACAGTCCTCTCTCCTCCCCACCCCACACACCCCAGACATTCTCCTCAGTCCAGGCTGTCCACCCCAGACGATTCCCATCTCTCTCCTCTCCCTACCCAACATCCCCCACCCCCCTTCCGCAATGCCTTCTTCCAGCACATTGTTCCGCTTCACCTCCATTCTTCGTCAAGGCATCTGGCATGCTATTGCTAGGATTTTTGCTAACCCGGACGATCCGGGCCCCTGTGGAAAAGATCCTGTTATATCCGAGCCATCCGGGAAAAAGCCTTTACGGGTTCGGGCTCGAGCCATAAAAGGCCTGGAAACCTGCATGACACCGGTATTTTACGGGATGGGAGAGAGTCACAGCACTTGGGCTGGGGTGGTTGGGTAGAAGGAGCGGCTCTAGAGGGGTGAGAGAGAGACGTTTCGCGAACTTAAAAAACATCTCTGGAGTTAGCCGCCATGCCTACGTAGAACGGGGCAATCCGACACTTGGAGGCCAAACCAGGAGCGAGTGGTAGGAAATTCCACAAAAAGTACATCCCAGAGGATCCGAGTTGTCTCATATATCACCCTTCAGTTTTACTGGCCGATCCAAAAAATCACGTAGCAAGTAATACCCTGTTGAGTTTGGTAATTTAGGATAATTTCCCTGCTATTGTGAGCCCTCCACAACACTCCACGCCAGCAAACCACATCTGCACTCCCCTGCCCCGAACCACGCATACCGACTTCTCGCGTCAGGGATAGCTTGGCACTGCCAAGTGCCATCCATCACCGCCCGCACATCCCTCCGCACATCCATGGTGGTCCGTCCTTACTAGTGTACAGTATACACGCTGTCCTTCCTTCTCCCCCCTGTCCCCTCACATGCGCGCTGACAATTCAGTCCCCCCCTCCCGTATTGGCCCATCAACTAGGTGAATATTCCTCCTCACTGCGCCTTCCTTCCCCCCCCCAATTCTTCCCCTTCCCCCCACTTCCCACTTCCTCCCTGGCGCTAACATCCCACAACTGTAACCCCGCCCATCAGCAGCCATGGCTGCTCCCTCCCTTCCTTCACACATCGCCGATTCGCCGTCCAGCATAGGACCATCGTTCCCACTATTTTTCGTGAACCAAACATTAACGGTTCACCCGTAAACACGATGTCGTGTGAGTTATGCGGTGAGCACACGCAGAAGCCAGCCGTCGTGACTGTCAGACCGGAGGTTCATCAGGTATGCTTATTATGGTCCACGAGAATCCTTGCTAAGTTGAGCTGCGTAGGTTTACGAGTTACTGTACCACCATCCCCGTTTCGAGCAGCTGACTGAGCGCCCATCTGCCTTCGAGAAAGGCCCTGAAAGCTCAACTGATTTCGTTTGCTTTGGCTTCGTCAAGCACTAGGCGGCGCAGCGAAGCCGCTAACGTCGGCCAGGCAACGCGTGGAGTCGAAGTGACTCTAGGGTTCTCCTTATTTCCCGTACAAAGTGCCTAGCGCAAGTTCTCGACTAACGTGGAAGTTAAAGATGAGCATCACCATCGCTGTAATGCTATCGATTCGGTAATGACCCTCGTACAAGCCGAGAACGGAAAACAGCACTCGGCAAGACAGCTGATACGGTTATGAGACAGACAATGGCGAGGACATTTACCTCGAAGCTCGTAGACCAAAGATACTGTATGATTTAAAAGTTCGACTTTCAGAACGTCTTGATTGTTTTCCGGCGGCGGACAACAGCGGCGGGTATCATGGCCAACGCTGCGTCGCTCGACGCCATGACGCCATTTCCGCTGTCCTCCGCACCTGCCGTTTTTGCTTACGATACCCTCGCGGCTGCGACTGCTCCCGCTTCCGCTTTCAACTCCTCCCCCGACCTTCCGCAGCCGCAGCGGCCGCAGCCGGAGCAGCCGCAGCTACAGCAGCCGGAATCGCGCCATCAACCGCATGTCGCCACATTCATTGCGGCTTCCCCCTCTGCCAATCCTGCTTCCGCCGCCTCCCCCGCTTCGAACATTTCCGCCGACCCGCCGCAGCACCCGCATCAGCCACAGCCGCAGCAACCGCATTCGCGCCTCCAGGCACACGCCATGCTCATCGCCGCCGCCACAGGCCGCGTCGCGCTGCCCAATCTTTCCGCCACGCGCCCCGCCGCGATTCTGAGCGAGAATCACGCGAGCGATGATTGCGTCGGTAACGGCTCTCGGGCGAACAGCAACAGCAACGGTATACGCGATAGTGTCAGCATCGGTACCCGCAAGGGCGTGGCTTCAGCATCGCACGGCAACTCCGCCGCGCCTCCAGAGCCCGCGACGGCAGCGGCGACAGCCGCGTGCGACGCTCCGGCTCGTAACGTAACGGCTAATAACGAAGCCGCGACGTCAGTTCGTGCGTCCCGTCCGCCGACACAGCAACCGGCGGGGTCGGCAGTGTCCGGCAGCAGAAGCGGGAGAAGCGGGAGGAGCACGAGCGGCACGAACGAACGGATCGGCAACGGGGGTGGCGACACGAACGGGGGAAGCGGGGCGAATGGCAGCTGCGGCGGTGGTTGCGGACTCGGCGGCGGATACAGCGGCGGCTCGGGCAGCGCCTTTGACGGCGGCTTTGGCGGCGATGGGTACAGCAGCGCGAAGGCAACGCCGGCAGTCCCTATCAACACGAAATCACCGCTTTCCTCGACGGATCTTAGAACGGACAATACTAATAGCGGCGCCGCCCACCCTTGCGTGCGACCCTTCGACTTAGTAGCAGTAACGGCCGATCTCTTAGTCCGCGAAAACTCGCTACTAGTCCAAGGAAACTCGTTAATACGCGGTGGTGACGTCATAGCCCGAAAAGGCTCCGCAAATCTGAAAGACGCAATAACCCGTCTCCTTTCCGACACCGTGGCGTCGCCTCCTGTGCCACCGCCTGTGCCGCCAGCTGCGCCGCCGCTGGCGCCGCCGCTGATGCAGCAGCCCTTGAAACGATCTTCTCCGCCCATCCCAACGTTCTCTGCTCCGCCCTCCCGAACCAGCGGCGACCCTGCCGAGCCTCTTCCCAAACCTCCTTCCGAACCTTCTTACGGGCCTCGTTCCTGGCCTTCCATTCCCGAGCCTCTCCGCCCGTCGCATGCGAACCCTCTGCCCGCGTCCGCCCAGCCCTCGTGCGCGCAGAGCGCCGCCCCATCCGCTTCCCCTTTACCCGCGGCTCTGGCGGCGCTACTGGGCATGACACGTGGCACGGATCCGTTGCAGTTCATGGGAATCGAACGGCGGAGGGATGATCTGCTGCGAGCCGCGGCGTCGGCTCGCAGCACCTGCGGCGTCCCGTCGGTCAACTGCCCTTCGCAAAGCAATCTCGTCTCGCAGGTCTCGTCCCATCCGTCCGATTCGCTCTCATCTCATCCGTTTGATTCGCTCCTTGCTGCGCCATCCGCGGCCTTTCCGTGTCTGCCGCGATCCGCTTCCGCTCCCGCCGGGTCTGGGGAAGGCGGAACAGCAGCGGAAACATCAACAGCAACAGCAACAGCAACAGCGGCAGCGGCAACGGGGAAAAGGGAAGGGGAAGCAGCGGGAAGCGAGGGGGAGCGGGGCGCGGGAGCGGCGTGGGTGGCGCGGACGCCGCGCGAGGAGGACATCAACGAGTGGCTGGCGAAGGTGCTCGGCCCGGGGGGTTTGCAGGCGCGCGGGGGGGGAATACAGCGGCGGGAGCAAGAGGAAATGGCGAAGGTGCTCGGCCCGGGGGGCTTGCAGGCGCAGGGAACTGCAGGGGGGGTCGGCATGCAGCCGCGGGAGCCAGCGGTTGCGGGGAATGCGCCTGGGCAGGAGGCGCAGCAGAACGCCCCGGCGGCTGGGAGCGCCGGAGGGTGGGGCCAGGGGGGAGGGCGCGCAAGAGATGGGGTCCGGGCGGAACAAAGTGGAGAAGGGCGGAGAGGCGGAAGCGGGTGGGCGGGAGGGTTGCTGGCTGAAAACATTCAGCTTTTGGCTGCGAATCAGGGGTTATGCTCGAGTCTGGGGGTGAATGCAAATTCGGGGTTAGATTCGGGGTTAAATGCGGGGCAGGGGGCAGGTTTGGATGAGATTGTTAGTCTGGCTGGTGCTGTGCTTTCCAGGCACGCAGCAGCGGGCGCAGGGGGGGTGTCAGGTGGCACAGGAGAATTCACGTTTGGATCGTTGGGTGCAGCGGGGTTAGGTGCGGTAGGGAACGATGTGATGATGGGAGGACGGGATGCGATGGCAGCAGCAGCAGCAGCGGTGCAGAGGATGTATAGACAGGCTCTGGTGGACCGATACTTGCAGGAGCAGCAGGCGAGCAGATCGCACACTGCCATGCCCACTCTTGCTGCCGCTGCTGCTGGTGGTGCTGGTGGTGGCGGTGGTGGTGTTTTTCCTGCCTGCGCGTCTGGCAGTGGTGGTGCAAGTGCAAGCTCCAGCGCTGCTGCTCGTGCGTGTGCTGGCAGCAGTGCTGGGAACAGTGTTGCCAATGCTGCTGGCAACGGTGCTGTCAATGCTGCTGTCAGCAGTGCTGCCAGTGCACACGTTTTACGGCAGCACGATGGCATGCAGTTAAAGCGGCAGTTATCAGCAGCAGCAGCAGCAGCCGTTGCCGTTCATGCTTCTGCTGCACTGCCCCTTGAACGTGCTGCTGCTGATGCGTCTGGGTGTGAGAGTGCACCTCTGTGGGATGGTGTGTCTGGGTGCGCTGGTGTGTCGCTGGGTCAGTGGGACTCGTGGGAGCTGCAGCAGCCTGCCACTGTCCAGGAGCTTGTGCTGCAGTGCAATAAAAGGTGAGCTTCCTCTCATCTCATCTCATCTCATCTCCTCTCCTCTCCTCTCCTTTCATCTCCTTTCCACTCCTCTCCCCTCCTCTTCTCTGCTGCTGCCTTTCAACCCTATAACCAAGCTTTGTTCGCATATTTGTTTGGCTGTCAATCGCACACGTTTGTGCAAAATCAATGCCAGTGTACACTCCAGTTAACTGTGCTCCTGTTGTGCTGTCTTGTTGACTGTTTTGTCTCTGCCAGAAAACTTGCTGCTCTCCAGGAAACAGTATTCAACGAGCAAAACAGACAACGCATGCTCTAGGTAACAGAATCTCCGGTGCAAGTGACGCGCACATCGAGAACCACACACACACCCAAGGAGCACTTGGATATTAGTTTTTACAGGAAGTACTATGAACATTCCCTGAATAGGCTGCAAAGACGGCCAGTAAAACTAGCCCAACAGGCGTTACCGTATTGGCCTAAACTATAAGGCTGTCATTACTTCCCACTAGTGTTTTAGCCACTTGTGATTTTTTCTCATTTCTGTTCTATTGCACTCGTAACAGATCCTGGAAGTGTATGTGAACCTCCCGTGTCCCATGCTGTCGCGTATAGTGTTGCCTTCATCGTATGGCAAGGCCCGAAACAAATTTCCGTGATTTTGGGCTGTCCATCCAGGGCCCAAAATTCAAGGGTGTTTTACCCTTTCTACCCTTGCTATGGGCCGCTTTTCCAGGATTGCCCTGATTCAGTAAGTGTATTTACCTTTTGACCCTGACTGTGAAAATGTACTTTTTGAAATACACTTGCAAAATCAGGCCTACTCGAGATTTCCCCTGTTTCGTCAGGGTACTTTTTGAAATGCACTGAAACAGACTTTCTTCGCGTCGTTTCGGTACAACAAGGCCCATCTGGCCACTAGGCCGAGATGGTTACAAAACCAGCCCCACCAGTTGCTGTCGCGCTGTCAGCTCGCCAAAACAGACCACACCACAGAAGAAGTGATTCGCTGCCTCTACAGCATTTACATCCAGCACGGCAAGGGAGCCCACACCACCATGCTACGGACTGTCCTTGCAGACTGTGGGTGGTGGGGCTTCCTTGGCTTATTGCTTGCATGCGCAGCGCCACACCTTCTGGCTGCGCTTTCCCCTAGGACAAACCCTTCGATCTAGAGCCTTCTCTTTCATACACCCCTTTCTCTTCCACCCTGTCTTCCATCCGCCTCTCAGTTCCACTAGCACCACCTTACCATGCCAGACGAGGAATCAGGAGAAGCTCCTGCTTCTCCTCGCAATGGACTTTCTGTGCTCGGGGTTTTCCCCCGCCTGGGCAAAGCTTATGCCACTCCTGTCAACGAACCTCCTCGCCCCGAATCACCAGTCCGTTCAGTCGGCATGGTGTATGCGTGGGGCGCACCGAGCTCGCCGACTGTCGTGGAGCCACACCCGTCCGTGACTCTTGTGCCTGGTGGTGATGAGGGCCCTTCAAACCGCGGCGAGAGCACTCCGTCAACGGTGAATAGCGCTCCTGCCAAGCGTCCTCGCACCGGTGGTGTGAAATACACCCAGCAGCTTCTGTGGGGTGCAAAGCCCCCACGCCAACCACCAAGTCCTCCTCGTGCAGCACCGCTTGTGAATGCTGATGAGGAGTTACCCAAATCGGATGCTGACGCTGAGTATGCAATCATGAAACATCGTTTTGATTCTGACTGGGCATCCCGTTTTCCGTGGCTTCGTTTGCATCGCACGAAAGCAGGCCGCCCCTCGTTGAAGTGCAACGTCTGCATGCTGCATGGCGATCCCTCTGCCAACACGACGTACGGCGTCAAGGGCGAGGGTGGCCGCGATCTTCAGCTTGGCAGCATGCGCGCCCATGTTGCGACTCGGGCGCACAAGGCCGCCTTGAAGGTGGAAGCTGAGGCTGAGGCGCGTCGTGAGCGTCAACTCACTCTGACGCGTTGGCAAGCCACGGACGCATCAACACGTCACATAATCCGCTGTCTGCACATCGCCATGTTCATCTGTAAGGCGGATGCTTCAATCGCCCTGTTTGTTCCTCTCTGCTGGTTCCTAGCCAGAGAGGGACTACCCGATCTTCCGCCCACTGGTGGCTACGGCGCGTACTATACGGAGTAAGTAAATGCATCTGTTTTTTTCTAGCATGTTGTATTGCCTGTCATATCGGCAGCTACTGATACTTCCACATCTGTCCCTCGTGTTTGCAGCTACGGTTTCAAAGAGAAGATTAGATCGATGTCGACTGACCTGCAGGACCTGCAGCTGCAGCACCTCCTGACCTCACCGTGGTTCGGGATTGGCATCGACGAGAGCACGGATCGCATCCACGGGAAGCACCTGATCATCTATGCCACCTTCTTCAAGGGAACGGTGGTCGCGACTGAGTTTTTAACACTTCTCACGGTTGAGCGGACTGACGCGGCTTCGCTCACATCAGTTGTTGTTCAGTTCCTGCAGCATATTGGTGTGGACCTGCAGAAGATGGTCGGCATCGCCACGGATGGCGCGAGCGTGATGGTCGGGGTTCACAATGGCGTGGTCGCGCGTCTCCGCGCCAGCATTCCTCATCTCGTTTCCACACATTGCATAGCGCATCGGTTCGTCTTTATGATGTGCTGTTTTTTCCGCCTTACCCCTCGGCTTGGTTGTGTTTTATCTTCAATCCACGTTTTCTCCTAATGCGTGGGCAAAATGTTCCCTTCTTCACCGATCCACCCACTGTCGTGCAGTGAAGCTCTGGCGGCGAAAGATGCTGCGACTGCGGTGAAGGAACTCAACATGGTCGACGACGTCGTGCGCGGGTTTGCCTCCCTTCTTTCCAACAGCAACGTCCAGCACGCGCGTTTCATGAATCTACAGCTCACCTTCTGTCAAACCAGCCTTGAAGTCCAAGGCATCCATACAGTGCGGTGGTTATCTCGCGGGGAAGCCTTGTCTCGTCTGCTGGAAGTGCTCCCGGCTGCCATTGTGTTGATGAAGGACCAGTCGCCGAAGTTGTACGAAGTGGCAACGTCGTTCAAGTTTCATTGGCTTCTGCGGCTCCTGGCGGACGTCCTGTTCGAGCTCAATCAGCTCAACCTTCGGTTCCAGCAATGCCAGGTTAGTACGCTTTATGTTGATGTATCACAGGCAGCTCTATGCTTGGTTTGCATGTGAATTTTCGTCATAAAAACAGGCACACACTCATTCCGTATTGCACGTGCGTCACAGGTGGATGTGACTCTGGTGGCACACCTTGCTGAGCAGACAAGGATGCGCCTGACCCAACGCTACCTCCGTGTCCCCGAGGGACACACATTCGGTCATGGCGACAAGATGCATCTGCCTGCCTTCATCCGTGCACATGGGAAGTCGGACCCGGACAAGCGGAAGATGAAGGTGGAAGGGGTCGATAGAGATGGGACCCCATCCTCTCATGAGTTCGTGCTCCACGAGCGACCTCTGGCCGATGAAGACCCAGATGGTGAAGACCCAGACGGTGACGCGACATCAGGTGACGCGACAGCATGCTACGAGCTGTCGACCAAGTTTGTGCGGGAGGTTGTGAAGCAGCTTGAGAAGCGGCTGAGAGATCTGTCTCACCTCGATGGCTCGAAGCTCTTTTTGTCATCGAAGTACCTTCTCGACGATGACAAGCGTGTCGCGGCGTTCAAGCGCTGGCTGAAGCAGCTCCATGTGCTCTTCCGCGAGACCCTGCTTGGTTTGTGCCCGTTGATTCTGTGATATTTCATTCTGCGCACACATGAATGTCACACCCTGGTGTAATAGCATGCACACGGCCTGCTTCCCATGACTTATGCTCTTGATGACCAACACCTCTCCACCCCCCCCTTCCCCCTCCCAACGCTAATCTTCCGCTTTGTACTCTTATGAGAATCACTTCCCCTATGCCTCAGGCTTCAACTACACGAAGGCTGTCGCTGAGCTCCGGATGTTTACATCGACTATGCATTCCCAGCACCATGACGAAGATTTCCATCAGGCGCTCAGCAACACTCTGCGCGACGACCAGTGGCAGCGCTCCTACCCCAACATCATGCTCATGTGGCAAGCGGTCGCTGTGCTGCCTCTGAGCACGGTGGAGTGCGAGAGGGGGTTCAGCAAGCAGAACATTATCAAGACGTGGGGCCGGGGGAGCATCTCAGACACATCACTGGGACACCTCATGCGCTGCTCTCTCCTTGAGTACACCGTGGACTGGTTCGATGTCGCACGCATCTTCCGTGGCGACAGACACAGGCGGCCAATCCGAGACTTCACTGGCAGCAACCCAAGTGATACTCAGTTTAACCCTGCAGCAGTCCCTGACACAACTGCAAGTACAGAGCACCAGGAGGGACCAGAGAATGAGTGATGCAATCTTTTGTTAGTGGTGGGTTATGTATGGTAGCATGTAGGGGAAGCAGTAGTGGCATTTTGATTTTCCCTAGCACACAGGGTGGTTTCATAAATAGCCTTACAAAGACAGGATACTAGCCAAAACACACTGACTAGCACCGGGCAAAAAAAAATCCACCCTGACTGTCAGGCAAAGGGCTCTGGGGGACCCTGATATGGCAGGGTGCCCCAAAACCAATTTTGGGCCCTGTGTCCATCGCTAGCTCGACGGGTACACACCCATATCTTCTCAATTGTTTCAGCGTTTTCGATGGTCACCCTGCTTTTTTAGGGATTCAGTATTTACATCTCATACTCGGAATATCTCAGCGGAAACGGGTCGTCAGGCCTGACGACCCTCTGACGACTTGACGACATGCTGCCCCGGGCAGAAAAAAACTAAAACCCTATCGGATGGCATGCCATCCGAGGGAGGCATCAACCCTAAATCCATGCCTCCCTGTGTTTAGGGTTGATGCCTCCCTGACCGGATGCATGCCCGAATGGGGTTTATTTTTTTTCCCCGCAGGCAGCGAGCTCCCCCGGGCGGACTCGCTTGTCCGCTGAGATATATTCTTCGAAAGGCAGCAAGCATTACTAATCCTGAAATCAGATCTAGGCCGAAGTTCAGAGCCATACGAGTCGGAAGTTTATATTAGTAGGATGGTACACATTCCCGAATCACCAGCGTTCCGAACCAGGTCCCTGAAAATGTAAACTTCGGAAAGAAATCGGAACGCGTTCAATGTCTTCGGAATGCAATTGCATCCTGCTCGGGACTCAAATAAATCCCAGTGGGCGTTTCGACTCTGGTTTAGCTTGGTTGTAAACATCGTTTCGACGGTCCTGCGCAAGGTAGCGACATTGTGTACGGTAATAGCAAATGTGTATGGCAGTGACTTGCACGCATTGCAATAATTCACTTCCCCTCTGTTCCTGGATTGTTGACGTTCTAACTCGCGAATTGTGCTTATCTTAGCTCGATGCAGCTGACAAGCATTTTCATCCGTCAACTACTAGCTGAAGGTCTCGCAAAGCGATCTGCTGTAATGTCTGGCCCTGCAGCAACTGATGCCGCGACTCCGCAACGACCGCCAATTCACAACAGCGACCAAGTGACCGTTGACAAAATAGACGACGACTACGAATAATCTAACGGCGACAGCAACGATGACGACGACACATTCTCCACGTCGTCATCTGAGGACCTGACGACCGAGATCGAAGAGCTCAAATGCGACGCCGCCAGCAAGAAATTCTCGCCTTCCTCCGACGCAGCCTCCGCCGTCCCCGCCTCTGTGTTGACCTTCCGCAACATCTGCTACTCCGTCTTTGTCAAGCAGTGCAAGGGGGAACCTTCCGCTGCCGGCCCGCAATTCGCGCGGCAGGACAGCACTCTCGCGAATTACGCCGGATTGCCGCCTCAGCCGGGCATTCAAGAGCCGCCGGTTTCTGCGGCCGCGGCGCAAGCGGATGGCGGTGCAACTGGCGGCGGCCGGATCGCCGAAGGATTCCGGCGAAAGCGCGTTCGGCGGCAGATCCTGACCGGCGTTAACGGCGAGGCGGGGACGATGCGGCGCGTTTCCGCGTACGTGATGCAGGACGACGTGCTGTTTCCGTCGCTCACGGTGCGCGAGACGCTAATGTACGCCGCCGAGTTGCGCCTCGAGCCGCGATTCTCGCGACGCGAGAAGGAGGAAAAAGTCGCCCGGCTGATTGACATGCTCGGGCTGGTGAAAGTGGAGAACTCGCCGATCGGTGGGGAGACACTTGTAAAACAGAGTAGCTGTGACTACTGGAGGGCTGGAAACTTGGCTGGAAAGTCTTAGCAGGGCTGCTGGAATTGACTGGATGAGGTAAAACTTCACTATGTTCAAGATTAACAAGCCCACTAAAGCACAACTCTATAGGCATCACAAACAAGACAGATTGAAAGCTCAAACTAGGCTGATAGACAATGTAACATCCCTGGTAACTTGGGCACAATCTAGATTGGATGGACCTTGAGTGACTTTGAGTGCCACATGAGGTGCATGAATAAGAAAACTCTGGATATTTCTGTTATAGCTGATTCTGATGTGTAGAAACCTGTAGAAACTGCCAACACTTCGGTTTGAAGGCAGCTTTGAACTGTATCGAGTCTTCGGCTGAAATCTGATTGGTGGTGGAACTTTCGAAGTACTTCCCGAAGCCTCTGATTCATCGCCGACATTCCCCCTTGCTGCTGCTTGTGTGCAAAGGGCTGGGGCGGCAGAAACTCGATTCTCCAACACTCCCCCTCGCACCAGACCCGAAGCACACATACACCCATGCTGATGCTCCTTTCACGTCTCCTGAGCATACACTTCATGCTGCTGCCCACGTCTCTTCCCCTCACACTCCTCATTCTCCTCAAACTGCTCCACTGCTTCATGAAGTGTCATGAGGTCTGCTCTTGCCTTGCACATGTTGAATGCATCATGTGGAAGAACCTTGGTCATGAAATCTGCTGCTTGATCGAATGAACGGCAAAAGTTGACGGCGAGAACTCCCTTCTCTAGTTGCTCACGAATGAAGTGGTACTGCACCTCGATGTGTTTTGTACGCCCATGATGAACCGGGTTCTTGGAAAGAGCTATGGCTGAAGTGTTGTCCACGTAGAGCGGAGTTGGTTGAGTTTGCGGCTGCCTCAAGTCCTCCAAGAGTCCACGTAACCAGATTGCCTCCCTTGCTCCTTCGGTCATTGCCATGTACTCAGCTTCGGTTGTTGAAAGTGCCACACAACTTTGCTTGCGCGATTGCCAAGAAACAGCGGCACCACACATGAGGAAGATGTAGCCGCCGGTAGACTTGCGTGTGCTCAATTCTCCCGCCCAATCTGCATCGGTAAAGCCTTGGAGGGAGCTTGCATATGGGCTGGCTTGGAAGAGAAGACCATGATTAGAAGTACCTTTGAGATACCGAAGAGCTCGCTTGGCTGCATGCATATGAATAGGTGAAGGGGCACTCATGTGTTGAGCTAGCTTAGATACCGTGAATGCTAAGTCGGGCCTTGTGCATAGGGCTGCATACATGAGACACCCAACCTGACTTTGGTAGAGAGCTAGGTCTTGTGGGGATAGCTTAAGTGAATTCTCACCATGATGCTCACTCTCCTCAAGACACAACTCCTTAATACCTATGATATCAAGGCTTGACTCTCTCTCTTCATAGGGCTGATGTGAAGACAAAGGGACAAAGTTGGAAGGAAGTGGGGTAGGTGATGGCTTGCTATCATCAAGACCAAACCTCTCAAGGACCTTTTGGATGTACCTTTGCTGGAATAGGAAGATGGACCGTGACTTACGATCTCTCACAATGTACATACCAAGATAATGACTCGGCTCACCAAGATCGGTCATCGTGAATGCACTTGTGAGAATACCTTTCACCTTGTTGAGAAGATCAAGAGAACCTGAGACTAGGAGGAGGTCATCGACATATACCAAGAGCCAAATGTACTCCCCCTCACTGGTGTGCATGAAGTACAGAGCGTTGTCTCTCATGGACCTTGTGAAACCATGCTTGAAAAGTACCTGCTCAAGAGCATGATACCAAACCCGTGGGGACTGTTTGAGACCATAAAGGGACTTTACCAAGCGACACACTCGACCCGTACCGTCATCATAACCTTCGGGTTGTGCCATGTATACCTCTTCTTCTAAGACACCGTAGAGAAATGCGTTCTTGACATCCATTTGATGGATATGGAGACCAAGATATGCGGCTATAGCGAGGAGGACTCGTACCGTGGTGTACTTTGCTACCACGGCAAAGGTTTCGGTGAAGTCAAGACCTGGAATTTGGGAATAACCTTTTGCCACTAACCTTGCCTTGTACCTATCGAGGCTACCATCACCTTTTACCTTGATCTTGTACACCCATTTGACACCAATTACCTTCTTCCCTGGAGGTGGCTCAACAAGACGCCATGTACCTCGCTTCATGAGACTCTCAATCTCTTCTTCCTCGGCTTTCAACCAATGCTCTCTCTTGGGACTTGCCATTGCCTCACGACGACTCAAGGGCTCTCGCGGAAGGTGTGATGCTGCCATGCATATTGCCTCTACCTTCTTGTGAATGCAATTCTCACTCTCCTCACATGTGCACCTTGATGACATGTCAACCATGAAAGTGAAGGGCTTTTTTACCTTGCGGACTCGTTTACCTTTACCAAACTCCTCACTTGGCTGAGACACATTAGTGGTAGGGTTCGGTCTCACAGTGTTTGATTGCGTTGATGCGGTCATTTGCGGCTGAGACAACGGCTGCGACATCGGCTGCGACGGCGGCACGGCTGCTTGTTCTTCTCCTGGCGTGGAAATATC